GAGGGTCCCCTGCCCAGGCCTGACACCTCTGTCAGAGGCGTCAGGCCTGGGCAAGGGGCCGATCCTGTGATTGGAGGGTGATGGGGGTCAACGCCTGAGGTCTCCCAGTATGTGAGAGCGGGCAGGCTGGGCTTAGGGAAATTCCCCCTCCCCCCACCCAGTGCACAAATTTCATGCACCGGGCCCCTAGTATATATATATATATATATAACATAGACACATACACACAGACAACAATATGGTGATAGCCAGAAGGAAAGGGGTTGGGGTGAGGTAGAAGAGGGCAAAGGGAGGATAAATCAAATGGAAAGAGACTTTACTCTGGGCAATTGTTGCATGATACAGTAGGCAGATGATGTTTTGTTGAGATGTACCCTTGAAACCTTTATATAGTTTTGTTAACCAATGTCACCCCAATAAACTCACTGGCATGGCTCAGTGATTGAGCATCAACCTATGAACCAGGAGGTCATGGTTCAATTTCCAATCAGGGCACATGCCCAGTGGGGGCTGTGCAGGAGGCAGCCAGTCAATGCTTCTCTCTCATCAATGATGTTTCCATCTTTCTCTTCCTCTCTCTGAAATCAATAAAGATATGTTTTTAAGAATTCTTAATGATTAAATAATTCCTATTAAAATGAAAAGAAATAAAAATAAAAGTTTCAAAATTATTTTAACTCTTTAAAAAGGAGTCCATTAAAATTATTATAAAGAAACTCATTAAACTCACTATATTAGTAAATATTAACTTTCAATAACCTTCATATATACAAATAGTTACAAAAATATAATAGAAGACTACACTTAAAAATATAATAACATGAAAATATGGGAATAAATTTAATAGAAATCTCAAAATTATAAGAAAACTTTAAAAGGCATATACAGATGTGAACAAATAAAATGTTGTAATGGGTTAAATTGTGTACTTACCACCAAAAAATGTGTTGAAGTCCTAACTCCCCAGTCCCTTAAAACGTGAAGTTATTTATAAATAGGGTCATTGCAGATGTAATTAGTTAAGAAGAGGTCATGGTGGTTTGGTAATCCCTAATCTAATATGACTGGTGTTTTTTAAAAAAGAATGCCACACAAAGAGAGAAACACAGGGAAAATGCCATGTAGAGGTGGATACAGACTGAAGCTATGCTGCCACAAGCAAATGAATGTCTGGCACTACCAGAAGCTGAAAAAGGCAAGGAGGGTCCTTTTAAGATTTCAGAGGGAGAATGGCCCTGCTGACACCTTGATTTAGTATTTCTAGTCTCTAGAACTGTGAGAATAAATTTCTGTTATTCTAAGCCACCCAGTTTGTATTAGTACTTTGTTATGACAGCCCTATAAAACTAAGGCAAGAGACACATCACATTCTTGGAAAGAAACATTCAACAGCAAAGGTGACTATTATCACAGGATAACCTAATAAAGTGGTTTCAATAAGAATGTTTAAAAATACAAGTAATAGCTTCAAGGAGAATGATGCTACGGTTTGCCACCAGAGAGAAGAAATGGTTAAGAAAAGAGTAATTACTTTTAAATATACATACTCTTGAGCCTGCTAGCTCAGTCGGTAGAGCATGAGACTCTTAAATATACATACTCTATTAGTTTTAAAAATGGTACTATAAGCATGTATTTTATATTTTAAAAAGTAAATAAATAAAATTGAATAATGCAATAATTAATAAAATGAAAACAAACAATGGGAAGGTAAAAGTAGATGAGAGAACATAAAAGTGAAAGAGTCTATCTAGCATGATTGGATGGGGAGTAAGTACAGTGGAACCTAATAAACAAAATGAACTAACAAGCAAAATAGAGACAAACTCTCAGCTAAAGAGCAAGCTGGCAGCCATTGGAGGTGGGATACGGGGGTGGAGGGATTGAGCAGTGCGGGAAGCCACCACTTGCCAATACTATCATGAGATGACACCAAGGAACACGGAGGGCCAATGGACCTTAAGCATTAGCAGGGCTGACGCTAAGCAATGATTGTTCGTGTTGAGATAGTGGTGGCTTGAAGTAATTTCCTGACCGGATAGCCTCCAGGTAAATGTTTACTGGACCTTACTGATCTTTACTGCCCTTAGAGATGGTATGTTTGCTACCTGTTTGTTGTGCTTTACTGAGGGCAAGATGTGTATCTAAAACTGAGTAAAAGCAGACGGGACCCAGTTTCGGTGTGTCTCTTCAAGAAAGAGGCTTCACCTGGCCCCCAATGCCTTCTAAATTCATATTTCTTGTATAGTATTTTCATTTGTGCGTTGGCCCCTCCTACAGATCCTGAACCCCACCATGAAGACTGTGACAGAGGAGACAAGAAAAACTCATGGACACAAACAATAGTTTGGTAATTTCCAGGGGAAGGAGGGTGGAAGAGGCAGAGAAGAGTATAAGGGGGAATAAATGGTGATGGACAGAGACTTGACTTTGGGTGATGAATACATAATATACCATACAGATGATGTGTTGTAGAAATGTGTATCTGAAACCTGTATAATTTTGTTAACCAGTGTCAACCCAATAAATTCAATAAATGTAGCAGAAAATGGGAGCTAACAGAAAAGTAGCACTGTCTTTAAAACTTCCCTTGAAGTAAAATGTAGCCATTACTATCGTATGAGAGGAAAAGCTAACAATACAGTTGGAAGTACTAGTATAATTATGGGTACAAAATATAATGCTAAGGCATTTACAATGGAAGGAACAAAAGAAATTGGAAAGTAAAGGACTATAAATGTGAACAGGTTTATTTGTACTATAGTTCCATGAATATCTGAAAGCAAAAAGAAAGGATCCTATGTAAAAAGTTGGACAAAGACACTGAAGATGTCAAAAACAGAATGATTATCAAAGTAAAGCTAGAAATGAGTTAAAAAATATTGATATCTAATTCACAGGTAAAAAGGCCAACTGGTCCTTTAAGTTTATTGGAAAGAAGTTAATAATCTTATCTAGAAATGACCTCTTAGGTTTCTAAAAGATTCACACCAGTTGTCATGATTAAAGTCTAGTCTTTAGGAAAATATCTTTGAGGAACATTTCAGAGGAATCACCTATTCACATATTAACCATTAAAAATCCTTGCCCCTCCTACACCTGTCCCTCCCACTAACCTGGACAATGTCTCTTTAACACTTCTTCCTCCACCACCCATGGTTCTTCTTCTTGCTCCAACTTGAAAATCACATCGGGTTTGGTAAACGGACAGCCTATCAAAGGAAAATGACATAAATACTACAACAAAGAATAATTTAAGAATTGAGGCTGGCACAGAGAAATCATAATTTCTGAAGTACAGGAAATTATGGTTTCTGGGAATGCTGTCCTCTGAATCAAAAAAAGACCTTTTGTTTTGAAAGCTGCAGCATGCACATTCACATGAGTAAAGGCATCTAAAGGCCAAATTCGTTCTAACACTGAAAGATTCCACACACTTCAGAAAATTGGGGGTTGGGGAACAACTTTAACTCCTAGAATTTGGGTTATAGAGGAAACTACCCTTACCCACTGTGATTAAGTTGTTATAGTTTTCTAGCATCACATGCCGGTACAGGTTCCTTTGAGCAGGTTCCAATTGCTGCCACTCTTCCTGGGTAAAGTCAATAGCCACATCTTTGAATGTCACTGTTCCCTGTAACAACACACTCCAACTCAATCTGAAGTCATCCATCTTAATGATGTAGACAAAACATGCTGAACTGTTTTCTCATGATATGCACAGTTTAGAGGTTCTAAAAAATGTACCTAGTTTTTTTAATTTCTAAAAGAAAAAACATCACATTAGCAGCATCTATCAGTTTATGTTCATTCACTGAATTTGCAAGCATCTTTAATAACTACCATGGTTTAAAGAGATCTTGGGCACCAATTTATATTGAGTGTGGAAGCTGGGTGAATATAAAACTTTATTCAACTTAATTGGTTTGGGAACTCACTAGATGCCTGTGATTTAATGAGGCAGGGAAAAACAATGAAAACAGGATTTGGATGCAAACAAAAGTAAGAAAAGGATATGAAAAATGTGTGGTATGGAAGAACATCCAACTAGAGATATACATTGACATATTATTGGACATAATGTTTATTAAATCAGGAGAAATCTACAATGAAATGAGGATTGCTCATTAGCTTATACTAGTTGTCTGGAGCCATGAAAAGGGGCTATGATTGCTCAGAGTTTACATACATTGAAAAAAGAGGGCTACAGACAGGATCATACAAATACCACCAAAGAAAAAAAATGCATTAATAAAGTTTTTCTAATGTTCTGAACTAGAATTACAAGCAGAATTAAGAGAAAAAAACATTATCAGGAATGCTTTAGAATAAGTTTCAGAAATGAGATGCTGGTTGACAAACTTCTTAAAAGCAGAGTGATTTAAATATTAGAAATATAATGTATTTTTCCTAGTTAAAACTGAAGTGCCCAAAGTATTATAAACAAATAAAAAACTTCAACAGCACTAAAACAAAGATATTTGCCCATATTTACTGCCCCTTCAGGAATTTCTATGAGAGATGGGTGAGATAAAAAGAAATCACCAGGAGCTAACTCATAATTATTGTTCCTAAGAATTTATTTCTAGGTCCTAAAAGTATTTTATGAACATATACATTCACTAACACTAAGGGTTCAGAGTAGGCTTTGGGACTAAAGATATAATTTTTTGGAACCCTTTTCTGTTAAAGAACAAGGCCTTTGAAATAAACAGGTTTAAGAAACCAAAGGCAATTGTGGCTGAATAAGACATCCCTCATTTACTTCCCCCTCTCCCACAATTACAATTTGCCACCCAGCCATGCACAAAAGTGCCTTTGTGGGAGCTTTGGGATCCAGCACCATAAACCAAAGGGGTCTGGAAGAGTTTCATGCACCCATGTATTGGATAGTAGATATATAGACTTTAGTCCCAGCTGTAGACCCTGAAGTAGCTAATGAGCCAACTCTAGTCCCTCTTGGCCATAGTTCAGGAGCCCCTGGAAAAAACACACATGGACTTCAGCAGAAAAGTTCCAGCCCACCACTGGAACAAAAGAGTTTTGACTCATCAGAAATAGTAAGAGAAACAGGTTAACTTTACTCACATCACCTCTCCTCAAGATGGTACAGATTAGGGTCATGAGAGATCCTGTTGACCTGTGATCTCATCCATAGAGGAGAGTGAAAGTGTGTGAGTACCTCACTTCCTAGCTGTACAGGATACTATCAAAGAAGCTCATTTCTCTCTTGCCTCATCCAGAATACTGGATTCTGAGCTACATGGTGGGGGAAGGAAGAGTCTGAGATAGTGGAACATAAGTCTCCTGTAGAGCATTAATGGGACACCGATCCTACTAACTGCATTGCAAACTCCATCAAGAAGCCTGTCCATTTGGTTTATTTTTGCCTTTAGATTCCCCCAAATGCTCCATGGGCATCCTAGAGCTCTGAATTCCTTACCCACACACACTCCCACCTTGCAACTGGCTCCTTGTTTATACTCCCAAAGGTGGTAGTGAGAGCAAGCTTTGACAGAAAACCAGCTTGAATCTTCAGGCCAGGGAGAGACCATGAATGTGAGCTTTAGCACTGCCTTTGGGAAAACAAAAGAGAAGCTCCTAGCAAGTACCCTTCCTGGTGTGTTGTAGAATCAAGAAAAGGCATACAAGCATAAGAATTCTGCCACAAGAGGGAGAAGATTGGAGTCAATATACCATACATTAAAAGGTCTGAGAAAGCCTCAGAATCCCTAGCAGAGATGATGAAAGTTATTTCGCTCCTGAAAGTAGTCAGTAAAGACTGGAGGAGGTAGCTTTTACTTCAATGAAAAATTTCAAAGAACATGAGCCCTGGATGCTCCATCAATGGATAGAGCATCAGTCCACCCACCAAAGGGTGGTTTGATTCCCAGTCAAGAGTACATACTTAGAAGAACAAAGTAGGTGGGATCTCAATACCCGATATCAAGCTGTATTACAAAGCCACGGTTCTCAAAATTGCCTGGTACTGGCACAAAAACAGACAAATAGATCAATGGAAAGAATAGAGAGCCCAGAAATCAACCTGAACCAATATGCTCAATTAATATTTGAAAAAGGAGGCATGAACATACACTGGAGTCACGACAGTCTC